AATTATTATTCCTTCTAATCGATTTAAAAAGGATTTTTGTCCACTGTTACGTTATCTTCCAATATTTTATTTTTACTACCACTTCATATGTTATTTGTCTGCCGTTTAGGCAGTATCATCTTCAAATGTAGCTATTGTGTCTTGTTATAGTTGGGGGCATGTCGCAAGTGTATAACAGGCACAAAGTGAGACCCACGACGCCTCCCTGTAGCACTTCTGCTTTGATTTATTTCAATTCGGAGTATGCATCCTCTTTATTTATTTTAAATAATCTGTTTGAAATATATGAATCAGCCCTGAATATGGCTGTGGAAGTAGCACATTAAGTATTAATTTAAGTCGTCATACCATAAAAATACCTGCGCCATTAAGAAAGATGACTGAGCAGATTTCTTTCTTTTCTAACACTATTTTATAACATCTGAGATTCTATGAACCTGATATATAATTGAATGGTTTTTCTAAAGCCAAACTGATAATTTGGAATTAGTTTTCTTTCTTCAATGATAGGTTTCAGCCTTTTCCATGAGCATTTTTCATAGTTTTAATAATATAGGCAGAGGGAAAAGCCTAGATGAAGAAACCTCGTTTGGATGTTTCCTTATTTTCCTCATAATACCTTTCCACAACCTAGAGACATATTTTAGTATGAATGGTGTATTTAACTGGTGTGTATTTTATTATAGCTTTCTTCTGTAGTTGAAATAAAATATTTTGCAATTTCCTTTAAAGAAATTGGTCTGATGATTCAGGTATCTGTCTTGAAGTAATTCTTCTTCATTTGGTTGGAAAGTATTTTGTAGCTGATAGCTAATACTCAGTGGTTTTATCTTTTATCAACTTACTGATTGATTTTAGATTCTTTTTGTCATTCTTTTTAACTGCTGGTTGGTACTGTTAAGGTTGGTTGACGGTCCGATTTCAATTTTTTCTTAGTTTTATTTTTGTAGAGATTGGGTACCTTATTTCATTTCGTTTTGTAGGCTGGATGAGGTATTATCCCATGCTGCTCGCTGAATTTTGGAAACTAGTACTTCTATACTTCTTCATCTAGCGGTTATACTGTTTTTTCAGTACTTGTGCTTACCAAATTCGGTATACATATTGATTAAAGATGTCTCTACTGATTAATGATACATGTAATGTGAAATCTACACAGATAAGCCTAAAACAAAAAAATATGTGATATGGCAGTACTGTTGATCGCGCCTGGCGCGGAATTTATTAGAACTATTGATATGGCACTTTTATATATTGTAGGCATGTTCATAATGTATACGTTGGGCAAAAAAGTCAATATAAATATTTTTAGGGATATGGCGCTATTGAAAAAGGGGTGCGACACTGATAGCATTTATTTAAGGTTTTACGTCTGCAGTAAATGTTGAATTATTCATAAATAAATTCTATTAACTCCTAAGATTCTTAAATTTTATTTTATTTAGCAACAAAGAACATTTTAAATTTTTATTAATAATAGTCCAAAAACTCTTTTATTTTATTGATACAGTAAGAAAATTTTAGACTAGTAAGCAGTTTCTTTCTAAAGATTCAAGCAATGTTTACTTTGTTGAAAATCAGCAATTTGTCGATTCTTTTAATGTACATACAATGTAATAAATGTAAAAATACAATGTTGAGTTAATAATAAAGCAATATAACGTCGCACCGCCACTGCCACGATTGTAAAACATCTTTATTTGGACTTTATGTAGTGCACACAGAAACCCGAAACGATCTCCCCATTTAAGTAAGTCTATTAGTATTCGATTGCGCCCCATTACTACACCAATGATCCACTTTTATTGGGTTTTTAGTTGAAAGGGATGTCTCCTTTGTTCGCCTCTAATTCTGATAAACATAATAAAGCAATTACTATTCATGTTTGTTCTCGTAAAATTTATTGGACTCACTAGTGCCGACGGACGATGTGTTTTGCGAAAGAAGATTCAGATACATGTCATTTGATTTTGTGCACTTCCTTTTACTGGAAATATTTTCTATGATATTATGAAGAAATATATGTTTTTATGAATGAGCTATTATTTTTTGTGATAATCTGCGCCACAGTTTAGTTAAAATAATCCAGGATAATTAATACGTTTTGTCTATGGATATTTATCATTTTTAGATTAGAAAATCCAGAGGCGTAGGCAGCCATTTTTCATGGGAGGGGTTTTTGAGAACTATGGGTTGGTTCCATTAAGAAAGTGAATAAAAACAAATAGTCAATAGCGATCAGCGCCAATAATATAGCGGAAATAGTGACGCGAGAACTCTCTATGGGAGGTTCTAATCCCCAAACCCCCCGTGGCTACGCCACTGAGAAAATCTTATGATTTTTGTGAACAAACCACTTGAGCCATCAAAATAGTTGTCATTTATTGCTCATTGACAATTCTGATTTAATTATCATTAACAATTCTGATTTAATTATTAGATTGAGTCTTGAGTCAATGATTGACCTTTAACTTCAAAAAGTACAAAATGAATGTAAGAAGCTGGTAGAAAGTGCAAGAACTTCTGAATTAGACTATCCAAAGGGGATGGTTTTGAATCAGTCAAAAAATAAATTTATTAGCAAAATCATTTTCTGGATACTGAATTTTTCTTAGAGATTGGTTTTCTTGGGAAACATCCTTTTTACTGAAGATCACGTTTCCTTAAAGATCATCCTTCTCTGGAGAGCACTTCTTGAGAAGATTTACATTTTCGGACGTTGCCTTTTATCGCCACTTTTTTTTTGAAGCTTGGACTTTCCGGAACACTATTTTTTCTGAAACCTAATAAATACCGACTACATTACTCCAAGAAGGAGTATCACTGAATGTTGGGACATCCTCCTCGTCTTACATAAAAAAAGGTCCCCAGCTTATGTGCGCTGTTAGTCAAACTCAAAAACGACAATTGTCGTAGAAAAAGAGGACATTTGCCATAAAAAGGACATTTTAAGTAGGGGCTGGTAACTCAAATGGAAAAACATGAGGAAGGTAATTTAGTACCACTCCAATTAACGGGATGGCGCTCGTATCCAAATGTCATGTCAGTTGTCAGCTCGCCAAAACTTCAATTAGAAAAATTAAAATGGCTGTTGCATTTGAAGGTGTATTGGATTTTGATTTATTTTTCAACACCTTCCAATTTTAAGCGTGTTTTCAAAAGATGGAAAGATGGATTTCAGCAATGAATAATAAAGCACTCCCAGATATTGGTAGTGATGCAATTTATACCAAATTAAATATGCGGTCGTCATATTAAGGATAACCAAATAATTTGTAATGTGTCTTAAGAAAAATGCATTTTGCACTGTTTGGCACCAATGGTAAGTAATATTTACGAATTTGTTTTTGATTCAGTGTTAAAATGATTGGTTTGTTTTTTAAATTTCCTTTTGTTTTCAGTTTTTAAATGATCATTGTTGTAAAGAAAATGTTGGCCCTCCAAGATACCCTGTCGATCGATTAAATACTTGAGCCTCAGCCATCAATATCAAAAATTGATTCAATGCCATTGACATCAAACAAGAAAACACCCCAAAATATTCAAGGGTCCAAACGTGTGCAAGTTTAATTTAAGAATAGAAAAATAATTAAGGTGAGAGATATCGTTTTTTTTTGTGTTAGAGACCCCTTATGTACATTCTGTGAAATAAAAGTGTAAATAGGTTTCTTTAGTTTGTTCTTTCTTTATCCACCAAGTGATTGTCGAGGGTTAGAGCAACAATTTAACGTAGGTTTCACCTTTTTCCTTTTAAATTAAATAAAATAAAGGTGCAATACCCTTATCGTTTGTTGAACCCAACAGTGAATGGTCGAGTGGTGTTGTTGTTGCTGCTGCTAAAGGTGGCCCATAATTTGACGTTGGGCACCTTCTGCTCTAAACATCACCAGTACCCAGCCACGTACCCACGCCCTGAGTATTTTGTAAAAAGTATAAAAATAAGTTACACATCATACGGCAAATCTCAAGGTGGTTACAAAGCATTTGTTGTATTTGTTCTGATTCAAGGTCGCTTCTATGATTTTACGTTCAGGGGGCTATAGGAATTTGTGAAATGTTCCTATATGTATGCAAATGTCATAAATTTCCGATGTATAGAAAAATGTCAAAAATTCCAATAGGAAAAAATTCCTACGAGTCGAGAATTGACCCTCAGGAAGCGCACGTGTGGCCAAATATCGAAATAAGCGATTTGAGACAAATAAGTAGTGTTGTGTCATCGTCATCGTCAGTAACGATCTGGGCTGCGATTTTCCCTAAAATTTGACCATATAATATGAGAATATTCATCCTAAACATCTATTAATGCGTCCTTATGAAATTTCTATATCTCTATGACATCTAAAACATTATCGACTTCGCAAATCATAATTAACCACACGTATTAATGTTCCCATGCAGATTCCATGACAAGTCCAACAAAAATCACTTAGCAATCCAGTCACTACCGGCTGCAACCGATCTAATTGCACATTTACACTAATTAGCTCATTGTCCTTGCGGCGAGATTTAATGAGACTAATTAAATGGTTTTTTGCGATGTCGAGAGATATACCGGTCGATCTTCTTGTGTCAACCGGCTCTAAGGACCATTTTCGCACGTCGGCTATTAAGTTATCACCGCAGTAGTCGTGTTACTGCTTATGGCTAGAAGAAGGATTAGGAATTTGTTATGGCTACTGATACGACACGGGGTTCAATAGAGCTAGAATAGTTTTTAGTTATTTTATTTTAATTTTTGAAATACAGATATAAATTTTACATACGATATGAAATGCGGAAACAAATTAATAAAAAATTAAAAAAAAAGACTAGGTGTCCGGACCCAACTAGCTAAATAAATGAGTTAAAAAGTCAATAGTTATATAATTATGCTATTTAAGGAACAATTTTATTTCTTAGAGTGGTTGAATACGAAAAATTTATCTTTATCCATTTTTTTGTAGACGCTTGTTTTCATTATTATTAATTATATTCAAACTCCTATTCAAACAATTATTTCTAACCGATTTTTGATTATTCACTTTATATTTTTTTTATTATTATTATTAAAGTAAAAAAGAGTCGGTAACTTACATCACGTCAATTTTATTTCAGGCATTTCTACCTTCAGTTACAAAACAGCTATTCTCGATACAGTTCATTTAAGGAAAAACCAACAAAATCACGAGTTATTATAACTCAAAATCGATACAGCCCCCACTGAAATATCTGACGCCACCCTATCTTTCAAATCCCTGATGTACTCGTAATAAAAATTTTTGAACGTTTCGAAATCTTTGAAGGAAGCCAAAATTTCGTAGACATCATCTTCGACTTCGTGTTTCCTCTTGTTCAACTCCTCCTCGAATTTACCCATTTCGAAATTCACCAGCTTACCCCTCAGTTGTTCTTCGATGTATTTCTTGACGGTGGCGATGTATTTTTCGTAAATTAACTTTTCGTTTTCGGGCGTCACCGTGTAATTGTCGAAAAAGTCGTCCATGAGATTGTTGAAGTTTTCGTTGACGATGATCTCTTCGATGCACCCGATGATGACGGCGAATTTTCTGTCATCGTTGTCGGCGGATTCGTTGAAATCGTTGATGTCTTCGTATTGTAGCACGTCGCTCATATCGGCAATTTGGAATTTTACGCTGGGGTTAAGATGATGTCGAAATTGGACCAGTATGGATTGGATGCAAATTTTTCTTTCGTGTCACATTTAAAGAATTTGAAATAAAAGTCAATGAACTGTCAGTTTGATGTGTCAGTTTTGTTTAGTTCTTAATAGTCAAGGGCGAAGCCATACTATAGTTATCTAGAAACTTCTTTACTCTGAGATCTATGAATAAAAACCTTAGAACATATATATTCTAAGATAAAAACAAATAATGACGGATAACTGTCAGAAATATTAGGTAAATTTGAGGAGCGATCAGACAACCAAATAAATTTATTTCTGGGCAAAATTGACCCAGTTATTGATTTAGATTTCTTTTTATTAAATAAATCCTGTGGTGAAATCAGTTTCAAGCAAAACCAGATAAATCTACTACAAAAAATGGAAAGGAATAATTTTTTTACTTTTTTAAGTATATGTAAATTTAAAAATAAACGTTGTGGGGTAGGTGGCTCAATTTTTAAAGTCTGCACTTGCGAATCCAAAGGTATGCGGTTCGAAATTCAACGTTGGCTGCGATTTTCTTATTTAATTTATTTATTTAAAAATAATTATGATGCATAGGTAGGATTCCCCAGTTAGGCCAGTCACTGTTAGGTTCTAATTAACAGTGGCGCTGGGAAACACTTATAAGGTCCCTGTGCACATTTAGCAGTTTGAAATTCTCGATTTTATATTTGACTTACCTCTATCTGAGTGAAGAAAAGAAAGGTTTTTAAATTTTAAAGTTTAAAGATTAAACTGTCCTTCTGTAAATATATTTTACAGACCCAGTGTTTTTTATATTTTGAGGTTGTCAACTTATGTTTAAGATATTGGTGATTCCTTATGAAACACCCTTTATTCTATATCTTATTATTTACGAAATTATCAAATTGAATTTAGTCCACAGTGTATAAACGATACAACATAAAACCAAATGAACCTTAATAATTACTCGATATTATGTTCCAATCTTCCCTCAAAAAAATATCGCTTCCTCATTATTTCGGTACCTTTTGACCGCATGCTTATCGATTCGAGTCCGTTAAACTCGTCAGGAGAAAGAAGAAAAAACCTCATACAAGCACCGTTTCAATTACGATGGGTTCCAGAAAAACAAATAGCCCGATTTAATAATAAATACAATCGCGTCAGATCTCACAACGAATTCTCGGCTAATGATGTCAATATCGACGTTTTGTGTCTTGTCTTTTTGCTAAAATAAGTTATTACCGGTTTCGTGTATTGTACAACAGCTCTCCACGCTGCACCGGAATTATTTTCTCATACACATATCTCCAGTCTATAATATCACTGTTTAACTTTTGTTTTAGTTGGTTTTTGTCGTGTCGTTCAGCCGTATTGCATTCCCCGAATCGGAATGTTCATTGACGTCGGTTCAAAACCATCACCAGGAATAAACCCAACTAAGTTATTACATAAAATTAGCTCTCCATAGCAAAATTGTTTTAAGTTGGAGAAAATTTATAGGAAAACTAATACAGCAATTGGAGAATTGTTCCGAAAACTATATATGTAGGATATTTTAGCTTATAGAAGTAAAAAGTACTTTAGAAACTCTATAAGAAAATCATTTTAAAATAGTTTTTGTAATTTTGACATATAAAGTTACATTTTTGATAATCGCAGCAAGTAAGTATTAAAATGATCTACCAGTTGCACAATGTTGGACATTTCGAAAAATTCATTATGTCATCAGTTGCAAAAAGAAAATTTTAAAATCAATAATATATATTATTATTGAAAGTTTATATCAAAGAAATACATGTTGACTTATAAAAATATAATTTGGTTAAACTTTGAACCTAGTAATAATATTGTTTTGGTCCCTATTTTCCATTCTAAATCAGCACAAATAATTTAATCACAATTAATATTCTTTTATATGGACTATAACTATTGGCGGCGAAATATTTTTTATTGGGAGGGGGCTTGAGTCCCCCTTAAAAATTGAATTCTTCCATAAAATAAAAAACAATGTAAAGGGTGTTTATCTATGCATAATATTTTAAAATTTAAAGATTAATTTTGCAGGGGTGAATAACTTTTATACGTATAATATACATTTAAATTAATTAGGTGGATATAAAAAATATTCAAAATTAAATTAAAACTGTTTTACTATTTTTCTTTGTAAACATTTCCAAAACTTCTTGATCTGTTTAGCAAACTCATTTTCGATGTGAAGTATGGAAAGCAGCGAAGATCTATTATAGACAAGGTTTAATTCTTCTCATAGCCGAAAACAGGAATAACTATTGCAATCTGTAACAGTTTGTATAAGTTGGGTTGGACATTCGATGTCACATAATTTTTCAAAATATAAAACTCGGTGCTGTGCTCATTGTTAACCATTTGTCTTGTAATTTTAATGTCTGCTTCTAAAAATGGTATATCAATTTTAAAGAGTTGTGCATAATGATGAATTAATTGAAGGTAGTACCATCTTCAAAAGACAGATTTAAAAATACTTTTTGCAAAATCTAAGTCACCAAATCTTTTCACAATTGTTTTTTTACAACATCAATGGCCCGTAAAAATAAAATTGTCCCCAATATTGTTTCTTCATGACTTTCTACTAAAATATCTGTTTAGTTTTTCTTTTTTTGTCACACGTACTGGTTCAAGGCATAACAAGGCTCTCTCGCCCTACGAGACGAGACGAGAGAGGCCACTCTCTTGTCTCGTCTTGTCTCGCAGCATCACTAGCTTAAACTGAGTCATGATCTTCGGCATCAGATATTTCTTGTTCTAGGTATTGTTTGAGATCATTAAAATTTTTAATTAGATTGTAACAATTTTGGAACAATTTTGCACCTGTTTCAAGTAACAACCGCATTGAAAAATTGTGGATTAATGTTATAGGGAGGATTATATGTTGTTAATGGGATTAAACTTTTTTTAATTTCTTAGCATTAAAATTAATATTAAGTACGTAAAATCAAAAAATAAAAAGTTCATGAACCATCTTTAAAAGTCACTGTCCTCACTATAACTACTGCTATTATTACCATTGTCTTTCCTGAGGTTTATTATAGGGTCTATTAAGTTTTCCATTGCTATCTCCATTTTCCTAAATGAATTTTCTGCATTTACTTCTGAAACTGCCTTAAAAAAAAAAAATTTCACACATCAGTTTAAATTTTGTATTTCTTGAGAAACATAACCTTTTAATTGTGACCAGATCAGTTCAATGGGAGGTAATCAGAGAACTTGTTTTACCACCCACAGAAACATAAATATTTTCACAAAAATAAAAGCCGAGTACTCGCTGGTCCCCCAAAATTTGACCAATTTTTGACCATGTTTGGCTACATTGATCACCGACTAGATTTTTTTTTACCACTTCTTAAGAGCAAACCGGACACCTCTAAAATTTATAATTCATTATGAGCCTTTATTTTTAGTCCAATTTTTGTGAAATTTTCAAGAAATACCAATAATAACAAAATTTAGGGTGGAGAAACCAAAGTGTTTATTTTGAAAAATTTTAAAAAGAATTAAAAAAAAAACATTTACGCGCCAATCTGTATTAAATCTATAAAAATTTACTGCTTTTTGTTTTAATAAATATCTTTCCCATCTTTTTTTCTTAAACGTCTCTGTAGAGTGCTACCTTATCGTTGCACAAATTTAAAGCTCTCAATATTGTCAAGACACATAATATCACGAAGTATTCCCAATGGCACGCATAAAAATATAATTTTATATTATAAAATCCTTAAAACATTTTTGCTTTCGCGAGAGGTCCGGTTTCGACTTTTAAAAAATCATCAATCATCAGGAAAACACAATTAAAAGCCGAAAATCTTTAAAATTATATGACCACCTCCTAAAATAATTATAATGACTCTAAATATACCAACTAAATTGAATTTCGACATAAAAAAATGCTCAATCAACAGAAGAGGCAATAAAGATCTAAAAACGTTTAGAATTATATTAAGACATTTGTCCACCAACTAAATTAATTATCAAGAACCCAAACAGTGTGAAAATTCGAAAAATAACGTGAATTTCTCCTCATTTATATTGTACCTCGATGAATAAAGACGATTTATTATTAATAATATCTTCTTGTTTTGAACGCCACTGGCTCACATACATTTGCACATATTTCTTTAATATCAATGGTACGTTAGTGTGTTTACGGTAATCGGTCATGATATTACAGATTAATTTCTGGATGCCTGACAAATCGGATTTAATCTCTGGAAGAGATTATATTGGAATGCGTATTTCTTCTACTACATCTTGAACGGTGCAATTAGTCGGATATTTTACAAACGCAATATCATTCCTGCAGAAAAAAGCTGTTGAATTACCGGTAGTAAAAACTTTCGAACAGATGATACGATACGTCGAAGTATTTGATTGATTTAGAAACAAAAAGAAAATTGCGGAAAATGTATAAATGTGTACAAACCGATGTCCGTTTCAATTTTGTAATTAAATTGACGTATCTATTAAAGATAAAACAGAAATAATTGCTTAATTGTTCAATCACGCATGGAAAAACTAATGGTAATGCCTTATTATTTTATTAGGGATAAAAACTAACTTCCATTGGTTTCTCTACAATAAATACTTTTTTTTCAGAAAAGCCAATGACATTTAAAATTATTTAGGATGGATGGTTTTCATTGATATTACCTATATATTCCTTAGATTGATAAATTTACATGGCGACAAAAAAAATAATTCATTTCTAATATCAGAAAAGAGGAAAATATCTCACCCTTGCTTCAAAAGTGCCTCAACTCAAAATTCACATTTTTTAAGTAAATTCTATGAATGCGATTATTAAAAACAATCTTACCTTAAAAATGACAGAGGCGCCATCTAGACAATTCTTTTCTAAGTAAAGTTTAAACAATTTTGTTGATCGTAGGGTTGTTTACTATTCACATTCATGAATTTAAAGAATTTCGAGTTGTGTCACTTTTGAAGCAAGGGTGCGATTAGATTAAATTGGATCAAACGTACGTGAACTTTTAGAAGAAATGAATATGTTGAATGCTACCTTTTTGCATTGCAAAAGGGTACTTTACTCTTGAGACTAATATGAATTTAGGTTAGTTTCTATGGGAATGACA